ACCCACAACTGACTGTTCCCGCCATTTTCATGGCGTCATGCAATTGCAACCAATGCTCATCTATACTTTTCGGTGGAGTGGTAGCTAGCCTAGAGGCTAGCTCGGTTCGATACTTACTTGCAACAGAAGTTGCAACCAGCTTGCTAACATCAATCCGTTGGTGGCGGTCACTTCGTTGGCCACTGAAAAGTAAGGCAAGATTGGCGCAGACCAAGGCATGGTCAGAGTCCAGATAGGTACTCCAAAAGGAGCGGCAGTCTTGTACACAACCACGCCAGCGGTAGCTGATCGCGATGTGATCAATCTGAGTCCAGGCTTGAGATGCAGAGGGAGGACGCCAGGTGGCACATCGGCGATGACTGTGCCGAAAGTTAGTGCTAGCCAGAAACAGGTTGTGGTCTGTGCAAAGTTGCAGTAGACGGTCCCCGTTATCTGACCTGCGACCAACGAGTCCCCATCGGCCACCTAAACGACTCTCTTCTGTGCCTAGACGCCCGACCTGAGCATTCAAGTCTCCGGCTAGTACTACAATATCTGTCGAACGCACTTTCTGGAGAACAGATAACTGGTGGTAAAACTCATCCTTGATTGCATCCGGGCTGCAATCTGTCGGGGCATAGGCGGAGATGACGAAAAGACATCGTTTCTCACGCCGATTTCTTCTCACTTTGATGGAACTTTCTAATCTAACAGCACATAACCGACTGTTAATGGGGATCCAATCGACTAGTGCTGCCTCAGCTCTAGCGCTTAGTGCGACACCAACGCCAGCAAGACCAGACGAAGATGCCACAGGGTCCCCGGATAAGCGCACGTAAAACAAGCTTTTCGAAGCGACAGATGGAGATCGAATTTGTAGTACTTCGCCAGAGTCTTGAATACGGGTCTCGGATAGACAACAAACGTTGATATTAAGACTTTCCAAAGACATAGCCAGCCCTATCTGTTGTCCGACCTGCATAAGTGTGCGAACGTTGAAGGCAGCCAGTTTGAATGGTGCACGTGGTTTCAGAAAAACTGCTTCAGTCCTCGTATTCGGTGGTAACATACAATTTTCAACCGGACAGTGACTCGAGAACGTTTAGATACAGTCGAATTTCCACCAAAGACGAGCCGCTGTATAAGTACAAAAGAGGGTGAATAATGTGGTAAATAATAATAACAATAATTTGATTGTCAGTTGAAGTAGGTAAAGTAGTTTCCATAATTATAGGCAGTTCATCATATTTGTGTGTGGGCTGTGATACTGCCCGGGTGCCCAGACCGAAGCAAAGATATTTTTACATTATTATTTAGCAAGGTTATGTATTCTTATTGAATAGAATTGGGATTGTCCAATAGATGATCACGATTATGCCTCAATGCTTCGATCAATGTCTGAAAATTCCGACCCGTTTTAAATCAATAGTCAGTGATCCAATAGATTATTATCATACCTTAGTCTGGTTCTTCTAAGCCTCCAACTATCTTCATGTTTGTGACAATCAGTATACTATAATAGGAATTTTTATTTCTAAGCGTGTATAATTAGTGACTATCTTAGTGATAGAAGGTAATTTATGAGAATTTACAGTATTTCATCTTCATAAGAGTGTTGAGATTAAAACTTATCAAGGAAAAATTTACTCGGAGTTACGAAGTCATTCGTCCTACTGTTTACAAATTACACTAAACAAAATTAGTTATATGATAGGACTACAAGAGGATCTACACTCTCTAAGTGGAAAAATCAAATGTTGCTAGAAATAAGTTCTTGAAAGTGTACAGTATTTGAAATAGGTTGTGACAATTCGCACCTATATACAATAAGTGGATTGATTTACTTCGGTTAGTAGTTATAATTTTGGATTCGTTGTTGGCGACGATTTCATAGCTGCTGATAGCAATAAGATGAAGGTTGCCAAAACGTATCCAGTTACTTGGGTGAAGATACCCGCATGTGGAATACTAGATTCAAGCAGTGAGTCCTTGATTCCAATAAAAAACAAGGACACTTGAAATGTTTCAACACCGTGGGAACAAAATGATGGAAGGTCTTACTAACCTATAGTATAAAAATAGGCGAAATAGATCGAGGTGCCTCAGTCCATCTCCATAGAATACATGATACAATATTGACATTAATATATTTCGTCCTTCTAAGACTGATAATCAAAGACGCCATTCTCAGAGATCGCAAATATCAAGATCAAATTCTTTGTGTATGGAGTTTCGTTTTTTGAGTCAAATCACAGGTTACCGGAAGCACTCGAAATCAGAAACTCCCGTTAACATATTCAAAGTAAGATCGGATATCTATAGAACTAGATGGTCAGAATTAACATAAGTCACATGACTTTCTATCCTTACAATTGAGAACATCTCATATCACAAGTCTATAAACCGGCTTACTATCTCTAAATAGTACCGCCTGAAAACTTTATCCATAGTTATATGACCGTGGTACGATCAGTGGTCCAAAGGAGTCTATAAAGTATATTGTACTTCGCTAAGTGCTCATTGCGTGTACTTGGTGAGTCGTCGATTCATTTTTTGTTCTTCTTTTCTAGCTCTCCTCACTCAAGCTACTCTTCATGCTACCCTAGAAGTACCTGACTAAACGCAAACCACTACACGAGTCGACGGTTTTAAACATAGATATCAAAACCATTATGACTAATTTAATACAATGTTCCAGCTTGCTTGCACGATACTCCTAAAAAGGAAGTAATCTTGTGCACAACTTTTATATGTTATCCGACGTCTACTTATAGACCCATAATACTACGACCCCTTAGTCATGAACTAGATCCCATCCCATTGTAATAGCAAACTGTGTTGCAGAACAATTCAGCTCGCCGAGAACACTGCTTTAGTCTGATTGTACATAAGAGTTTAGACGATTTCTTCGAGATGTTCACGTCTTGTTTATGCTTTACGGAGGGAAACGTTATAACTATACGTATTCGTAACACAACAAACTGCCAGTATAGCTTACTTATACGATAGCATTACATCATCCCTGAAATTGATACATCAGCTAGCGGCGACTTACTGAATAAAATACTTGACTTTCAACTAACGAGCCTCAATTTCCTTAGTTAGCTTAGCTTGAGCGGCCTAACAGCAATAGAACTTACATAAAATAATAGCTATAAGCTGACAAGAATATATGCCACATAGCCGACTTAATAAATAAACATTCCGTATCATTTCCACCAACGACGGTTGCGGTGCGTTTACTTGCTAAGAATATTTTGAGACATATTCCGAAGCTTTGATGGCCATGAGCGCTATGAAGGGAACTAAAACTCAAGAGTTAAACATGGGCAAGCTTCACGATGTCTGACTATAGACTGGACCAATCCAAGTGCACGTGACTTCACTCGAATACACTTTTTAGATCATGGTGATAATGAGGTTTTATTTCATCCTAACAAACAAAGGTGGATGACTGTCTGAAATTCAGTGAGAAATAACATTGCCAAGTGTGAAAATAAAGCCTGACAAGTAGAGAATTCAGTGATATCGTTAAACAGTAGATGGCTAGGATTTTTGTGATCTTTTACGGAGACCTAGATTAGTTGCAATGGGTGAAAAATATGGACACGATTGATATATGGCGACCTAGAATTTAGTGCGTAGACAGGTTTATCCACCTCCGGGTGACCAACATGATATATTTTTCATGATTTTTGAGTAGCTGCTCACTGATGCTAAAAATAAGAACTTTTCAGACTACAAACTACCGCACTGTGGAGCACAGCCTGACAGTTATGTAGTTTGAACTTCAGATACTAAGTCGCTGGTTCGAACGCCACTCCACTTAGGTTTGGACAATCAGATATTATCATTATTATTATAATTGGCTTTATTTACTAGCGCTGGCACATTATATGGCTCATACACAAGCACCTGATGAACGAGCTATTTTACAATAAATATACGAGCCCGCATGAAGACTAAGTAGAAAATATTAACCTACTAACTACCTTTAAACCTTCAAATAAAAAGAGCGTAGACAGGTAACTGAAAATGACGATTAGCTGACCGTACTTATTAACAAACCAAGTCCAACTTGTGAGGTAAGAAACTTTTTATGGAAGACGCTTTTGATAAGAAATGAATATCAGTCACTACATTAACGACTGGACATTCCAAGAACAACAGACGTTAATCCCAGATAGGAAATACATATATAATAACTGTATATACTCACTTTGAAAGACTTTACACCATGACTTATTGGCAGAGAATAGGAAAATCAACTTGCAGTGTAAGAAAGAAAAGGAAAGTCATCACTAGATAGTATAAACTACATGATCTAAATATTGGTGCTTAGAAGTGAACCTCAGTATAGCGTCGTAATGATTATGACGACTGCAGATTGTCCTAGAGAACGTTTCTTATTAGAACCTACCGAAAAAAGATGTTAGCGCTTCCGAGGAACGATACCATAAGTGTATGCAATATTACATGAACCTAGTTTAACGCTAGTGTATAGTATAATTGCATACAGCAATGATCTCTTACAAACTAAATCAGAAAGTTGCAAATACTGTATGAATAAAGAATACGCCCCCCTAATACTCAACATATACTTATTTTCCTACGCTGGTAATCTACTGATGGTTTTCACTATGATTTGACACGATTATGCACATAAGACTGGTCAGGTATAATCACTTGCTAAAAAAATACTTCTAAGGATATACGAATACAACGAACAATATAAATCGTAATACCACACGTGAACTCACAATACAACTAAGCAAAGAAAACATATCAATTATATAACATTAAACCTAGTCAATTGAGCAAATAACGGTCCAAAATTAACTAAAAAGATTAAGAAATAGACTAGATAGACTGTACCGAAATGCAAAATATTCATACAGATGGGTAGAATTAGAAGTCGAATATTTGGTCAGTTTAATGTGAAGTCATCTTTAAAAATCGCTATCAAAAAGAATAAATAGAAAGCTCTGTGTAATTTACATACAGAAATAGCAAATAAACATTCACCCACAATTTCCAGGAAATTCAGTGATCGGAGGATAAGGAACATTAGAGTTTAAGGTCTGATTTGAACATGCAATAGGAGAAAAATCTGATAAAGGACATTCGTTTGAGAAGTCAGTAGAAATATTAGACTGTGGAGTAGTTTGGCAAGAGGATAAGTAATTGTCATTAAAAACACGGACTTTGTAGTTTGGATCAAATGGTATACCACGTAACAAACAAACTTCCCTTTTTAAAGCTAATATCTGAGTTTGTAGTACCAAGTTGGATTTCTCAAGATAGCTAGCACGTAATGCTATTGTATCTTCACGACGCTTGCGGTTGTCTCTTGAACGTTTAGCTGCCAAGTTGTTTTTCAGCCTACGCTGAATATAGCGATCATCTTTATCTGACGTCTTCATTTTTTCGGAGGACCTGGTTACGGTACTGCAGTCGGAATTGCAGTCTGAAGAGCTTATCTGTGAGTCCTTCGTACTCAGTGACACGGGTTTATCGTCGATACCAGGTGAACTATTGGTGAAATTAAGTCTAGAGTTTCTCCCTCGACTTCGTCTCTTTATATCCGGACAAATCGTGTTATCCTGTACGTCAGTTGAGGTAGACGGTGAATCAGCATTGAAAACGTCTGATGCACGTATGGATGTGGACAAACTCCAGGTGAGTACGTAATGGGAGGCATAGGATTTATGGAACCAGAAGTTGAGTGATGCAAGCCAAAGTTATTTAGTGTAAGAGAGGGGAGTAAATGTCTTTGAAGTTCTGTATCATAGTTGTATTCTTTTTTGAAAGCATCAGTGTTTACTGAATTAATTGTTTGTTCGAGAGATGGATATATGCAAGATGAAAATGAAGGATGAATAGTTTGAAAACCTCCAACTTGTGTATTAAGTTGACATGCATCTCGAATTTGAAGATTTGCATGTAGGTCCAGAGACGTACCATCAAACGGCACCTGCATCATATCAGCTGACGGCTGATTCGAAGCACACGAAACCCCGCGCTTAAACTAATCTTGGCTTTTCAATGCGTATAAACATCACGAAAAAGTTTGAACAGGTTGTTTCAATTTCAGCTTTTTAAGACCGTAAAAACGCAATACTATGTCTTTAATAATACTCATAATAAATCGTTCAACGAAAATTTGGTTTTTTTGACGATATTCATCGAGTTTGTCGAAGAGAGATGGAACTTGTGTAGTATTTTTAAGATCCAGATCTCATATTTGTGCAAAAGGAATGTAAAGCCAAAGCTTTATGTAAGTTTGGGTTGTTTTGAAATATTATTTTATCTGAAATAATTTGTAAGAGTGTCTAAATCTTGATATAATCTACTGTGAATAAATCCACAAAATAAATAGCTCTGTAAGTCTTCGACATTAGATGCTAACCGCATTAGTTTTAATGGACTCACCTAGTTGATGGCGCTCGGTCATACATCGGCACCAGATCGTGAGTTGGAATGCCGTGCTCAACTTCTCCCGCAATCGCTAGCCAGATAAGATCAGTCAATCCTCGATATATTGATAGCTTATCAAATATATCTTCGAACCTTTTCACTTCTGTCATTTTGTTTCATTTGGTGGGTACGATGCATATTAGAAGGTGTTACTAGTTAAAGCGTTGTCAAATCCCAAATACCTGTGGCATCTTCGTTGGTGAGCCCAACGTGGTCTGGTACACCATATTGTAAATTGTGAGTCTGTTCCATTTTTGGATTTCATATATCATTGCTTTATTTTAATTTTTAGATATTGTGATATTTTTCCCGTGTTTTTGAATATATATTTTTTTCCCGTCCATTTTTTACTTAATATTTCTCCGTGAGAAAAAGACACCTAAGGTACTTAAGATAAAGACTATGACCCCAACTTCGTTTCGGTTAATGTCCTGCTGACCATACAACATCGAAGCCTGGTTCTGCTACGAAGAGGCCGGCCTCTACGAGCATGGCGTGACCGACACACGTGCACAATGCCTCGCAGTAGTCAAGGCACTACCGTGTGTGACATCTAGCATTTTTACTAGCCATGTTTCGGCCCCCTACGAAACATTGAAACGATCTATCCTTAAACGCGGAGACCTGTCCGATAAACAAAGGTTAGACCAACTCCTTAATAACATCAACCTGCAACACGGTTCTGCGACAGACATGCTGCAAAGAATGAGAGAAGTTATCGGCCAAAGAACCTTCGATGATGGTCTATTCAAACAGCTTTTCTTACCCAAACTTCCTTAACAGGTGCAAGCTATGCTGGTCTCGTTCCAAAACAACGCCTTAGACGAGCTGGCTGAATCTGCCAACCGAATCCTTTAAACCACGAAATCTTCTGATATCGAGGTTTTTTCAGTCAAAGGAAAACCTCAAACGACACAGAATGACATTACGTGACTATGTCATCCTCTGACACGTTATCTACGATTTCGTAATAACCGTGAACGGTCACACACTCCGCGAAGAAGCACTTCAAGTAGGCGATCTGTCTCTAGACTACGAGAGACGGATAATCAAGACTAGTGCTGATATCATAACCAGATTGGAATGTCCTCCAGAAATTTTAGAAAACCATGCAATTTTCCCAACTCAAAATCCACCAACAAGAAAAACAATTCGGGAAACTCTCAAGCCGGCACGCGTTAACGACAACCGTAGCTAGCGAACGTAACTGATAAAAGGTACGTTTGCCTTAACGTGCGTTTATGCAAACCCATTCACTGGATTTTTGTTGTTGGTATAGATCTGCTACAACACCACAATCTGTTCATCGATACGCGCAAACGGAGGCTAGTGGACGGAAACAATAGTTTGTCCGTTTGCGCAACTCCTTTTGTCGGTTGCAAATTATCTCCAATTACAATAAGGCACACGACAGATCCATTCTATTAACCACTACTCGAAAAGTATTCTGGAATACACCAAACGCAGGAAAAATTTCCGTGTGTAACCAGCAACGTTACAAAGCACATCATGACTACAGGATCACCTGTATTCTCGAAAGCGCACCGACTGGCTCTCGAAAAGTTGAGGTTGGCCAAATTCGAATTCCATCACATGATAGAGTTCAGAATCATTCTACGGTCAAGCAGCCCATGGGCATCACGTTGCAAACGTTCCTTAAAAAGGACAACAACGATTGGCGTCCAACTGGTGACTATCGGCGTCTGAATGCGAAAACCATTACCGATCGTTACTCGTTGCCTTAACACATTCTGTTTTAAACTGTGCACTATCGCGTAATATCTTTTCTTTCGAACACTGCCTGCCTAATTTCCCATTTTTGAGTTCCACTGACAAGCAACAAGGTGACACTACTTCAAAAACACGCGGTGTTTAAGCGATAAATTTTCTGCAATCATAAAGTCATTTCAGATGGCTCGTTTAATGCTTACTTACTTACACCTGTTACTCCCTATGGAGTATAGGCCGCCGACCAGCATTCTCCAACCCACTCTGTCCTGAGCCTTCTTTTCTATTTCCATCCAATTCTTGTTCATTTTTCTCATGTCTATCTCCATTTCTCGGCGTAATGTGTTCTTTGGTCTTCCTCTTTTCCTTTGACCTTCAGGATTCCATGTGAGAGCTTGTCTTGTGACGAAGTTGGGTGCTTTCCTCAATGTGTGTCCTATCGACTTCCAGCGCTTCTTCCTGATTTCTTCCTCCGCTGGGATCTGGTTTGTTCTCTCCCATAATAGAATGTTGCTAATAGTGTCAGGCCAACGGATCTGAAGTATTTTGCGTAGACAACTGTTAATAAACACCTTTATTTCCTGGATGATGGATTTCGTAGTTCTCCAGGTTTCTGCCTCATACAGTAGAACTGTCTTGACATTTGTATTGAAAATCCTGACCTTGGTGTTGGTTGAGAGTTGTTTTGAGTTGCAGATGTTCCTCAGTTGTAAATATGCTGCTCTTGCTTTGCCGATCCGCGCCTTCACATCTGCACCAGATCCACCCTGTTCGTCAATGATGCTGCCCAAATATGTAAAGGTTTTTACATCTTCCAAATTTTCTCCGTCAATTGTGATTGGATTGGTGCGTTCTGTGTTGTACCGGAGAATCATGCTTTTCCCTTTGTGTATATTGAGACCTACTGCTGCTGAGGCTGCTGCCACACTGTTCGTCTTCTCCTGCGAAGTCTAGATCGTCCAACTGCATCCTAGATGTCCATTGTATCCTGTGCTTTCCTTCAGATGTTGACTTCTTCATGATCCAGTCGATCACCAGGAGAAAGAGAAAGGGTGAGAGTAAGCAACCTTGCCTGACACCGGTCTTCATTTCGAACGACTTTGTCAACTGTCCTCCATGCACGATTTTGCAGTGTAATCCATCATATGAGTTCTGTATGATATTGACTATCTTCTGAGGCACGCCGTAGTGTCGAAGAAGTTTCCATAGTGTTGGTCTGTCCACGCTATCAAATGCCTTTTCGTAGTCAATGAAGTTGATGTAGAGTGATGAATTCCATTCAATTGATTGTTCCACAATGATCCGTAGAGTTGTGATTTGGTCTGTACACGATCTATCCTTACGGAATCCTGCCTGTTGGTCACGAAGTTGGGCGTCTACGCAGTCCTTCATCCTGTTTAACAATACCCTGTTGAAGACTTTTCCCGGTATTGAGAGCAGAGTGATGCCCCTGTAGTTATCACACTTGCTGAGATCGCCTTTTTTTTGGTATTTTGATCAGGAGTCCTTCTTTCCAGTCTTTTGGTACTTGTTCCTCATCCCAAATTTTGCTGAAGAGAATGTGGAGTATCCTTGCAGTTGCCGCTACGTCTGCTTTCAGTGCCTGTGCTGGAATGTTGTTTGGTCCTGCTGCTTTGCCACTCTTGATTTGTCTGATGGCCATGCTGGTTTCTTCAATTGTTGGTGGGCCAACGTTGATTGGGAGGTCCGTGGGTGCTACTTCGATGTTGGGTGTGTTCAGTGGGGCTGATCGATTCAAGAGTTCCTTGATGTGTCTGTTGAAATATAGTCTACTTCGATATTAGTACTGCTCTGATAATAAACCTGATCCTGAAATTGTAGAGTTGTTATGATGTAAGTACCTAATCTAAAAGATCTTACGTGGAAGTCACACCATTGCCTACCCTGATTCATTGCAATGTAACAATCACCAATGCAAGCTTAGACTAGAGATAGAGCAATATATTTAATATGAATAAAAAGCATAAGATAACATTTAACAAAGTCCACGGTTGCTAGGCCAAGCCATGCCATCCGACCAATTCGAATTCATTGGATCCATTCTTCCCGCTTTCTCCCTCGTTGGGCTTTTCTCAGTGGCACATGCTCAATATCTATTTTCCTAGGTGTCTCGTGTTCAGCGTTGACTATTGTGTGGTTAGGGTTCAATTCCACCACATGTTCTACCCACCTGTTTTGCTGTTCCTCAGTGTTGGTG